CCCATCCAACACCTGAGTCCAGTTCCAGCACCTTGAATACTGCCAGCAGGGTGCCCAGCTGCTCACCGACTGCCAGCTTCCCCTTCTCACTGTTCAGGAAGTGCTGCATCCCCTTCAGGGCATCCTGGAGCAGCTGGAGGAGGGCAGGAGACACAGTGAGTGTGGGCGAGTCAGAGAGAGAGAGAGAGATAGAGAGAGAAATAGAGAAAGAGATAGAGAGAGAGAGAGATACCTCTTCCCTGAATATTAAAAACAGTTACTAAGCGGTCCGAACTCCTCACACCTTTTTAAACACCTCTCCTGGGTTTCCCCTCTCCTGCACATCGCCACATTCATTACCAGTCGCCGTCGGGTCACAACACTTTTCACACTACAGGATTTGGAGTCGCCCACAGGTCCAGATATTTAGCCTGCGGGATATCTGAGGGACGTCCGTGACACACCAGCGACTCCGTCTGGTCGCGTCTCCCAACGGCTCACACACAGCGATCGACTGCAGATTTGCCGGCGCCAAGCCGACACCAATTTGCCTCCGATTCGAGTCTTTTGTAGGCGATCTCAAAAAACCGCCGGCGAGCGGAAAATCAGGGGTTAAAATCACATAGTGTAAACTTAGCATTACATGTGAGATAATTTGGCCAGCTCTCCTGGGAGGCATGATGTCAATTATATGGGATCTGCAGGGCTCTCTGGTCACAGTCTGCTAACACGGGCGGCCGTCTGCTCACACCCTTACCATCCACACCATGAGGTAGGAGAAGATGGCGATCCACAGCGTGGAGGCCACGAAGGTGACCATGAACCAGCGATGCCAGCGCGGGTACACACAGTTGGGCACAGTGTAGTAGAGCAGCAGACCGAGGGGCCAGGACACCAGCCACTTCACACGGTTGCAGCGCCCCCCTGTGGCGGGGATGACAGCAGTGTGATAATGAGCAGGGAGGCACAGCAGGTGGCGGCTGAGGGAAAAATCTGGAAGGCTTGAGTGCTTAGTGGACTTGCTTCAAACAGCGGGAAAGCTTGGCATACAGGCAGCCGCGGCTCGCAGTGCCCGCCTCCCACTCACTAACACAGCACAGACGTGATGTCACTGTACACCAACTCAACGCAGAAAGAGTAACACAGTCACCATCTATCTTCTAATCGTTTGTCAGAGTCGCTGGGGGGCCTGGTACATCCTGGAAGCGATGCCCGTCCATCACAGGGCCACATGCACCCGCATCAGCATTAAAGTCAGAGTCTGCTATCGATCCTATCAATCACACACTAATCATACGCGATGTGCAGTTCAGAGAAGCCGATTAGCCTAACCAAGGTCTTTGGACTGCGAGAGGAAACTGGAGCACCTAGTGGAACCCTGCATGACACAGATAGAACATGTGCATGAACCCCACGACTCCCGAAGTGCGAGGCAACAGTAAGACCTACGTGTGCAGAGCACCTGCAGGATTTACCGTAATAACTGATCAAAATTGTCACAATGCTTTGTTGACTTTTGCAAATTCATGATTATTATGTTGTACTTAGATGGTATCCTTTCCAGGGTGTGTCCCAGCATTGTGCCCTATGCTGTCACCAGTGACCCTGATCAGGATAAGCGGTTAGGTGGATGGATGGATGGATGGATTAACAAAAATTGTGACTTCATAACTGCTCCTTCCACAAATTCACCTGGCATCTTGAGGGGTCTGAATGTCTCGTCCACTTCATCCTCCTCCATGTCTTCTGGCTGAATGTTCTCTGTCTCCGTCTCCCCCTCTGCTCCACCCTCCTCTCCCCTCTCCCGGGGCTCCTCCAGGGGCTGCCTCTCGACCTCCATGGCCCCCCCGTTTTCCATTCCCCAGGAGCCTCCCTGCACCCCAGAGTTACTTTTCACGGGGGTGTCCCCTGCCCCGCTACCACTGCTGCCCCCTGGACTCTGGTTCCTGATGAGTCTCTGTCGCTATAGAGAGAAGATCCTATCAGGTAAAAAAGCCTTGGGCAAAAGGTCAACACAGGAATACACAGCATAGCCTAGGGAACTACAGCACTGGGCACAGCCACGCACAGCATAGCCCAGGGGATTACAGCACTGTATGTCCCAGCACAGGATAGCACACCATAGACTAGGGGACTATAGCACTGTACAGCCCAGCACAGAAAAACACAGCATAAACTAGGGGGCTACAGCAATATGCACAGCCCAAAACAGGAAAATACAATATAGCCCAGGGGAGTACAGAACTGTGCACAGCCCAGCACAGGAAAAAACACAGCATAGCCTAGGGGACTACAGCAATGTGCACCACACAACACAGTATTAACTGGGGGACTACAGCAATGTACAGATCAACACAGCATTAACTAGGGGACTACAGCAATGTACAGATCAACACAGAATTAACTAGGGGACTACAGCAATGTACAGATCAACACAGCATTAACTGGGGGACTACAGCAATGTACAGATCAACACAGCATTAACTAGGGGACTACAGCAATGTACAGATCAACACAGAATTAACTAGGGGACTACAGCAATGTACAGATCAACACAGCATTAACTAGGGGACTACAGCAATGTACAGATCAACACAGCATTAACTAGAGGACTACAATACTCTACAACCTAACACACAACAACACAAACAAAAACTAGAGGACTACAATACTCTACAATCCAACACACAACAACACAAACAAAAACTAGAGGACTACAATACTCTACAACCCAACACACAACAACACAAACAAAAACTAGAGGACTACAATACTCTACAACCCAACCAATAACACAAACAAAAACTAGTAGACTACAGTACTGTGCATGGCCCAACAAAGATCATTGAAAAAAACTAGGGGACTAGATCTCTGTGCACAGCACAGTGTAAACTAGAGGACTACAGCAGTGCACATCCCAACACACAACAACGCAACAAAATCTAGGAGACTATAGCACTGTGCACAGCTCAACATAGAAGGACACAGCAAAAAATAAGTGACTGCAGCATTGTGCAGAGGCCAAAATAGAAGAACACAGGAAAATCTAGGGAACTAGAGCCCTGTGTACAGCACAGCACAGTGTAAACTAGAGGACTACAGCACTACACATCCCAACACACCACAACACAGCATAGCGTAACACAACATGGCCTCTGTACAGCCCAACACAGGAGCACACAGCACAGTGCAGGGTGTTCAGCACAGCACTACACAGAACACAGAGCTGCAAAGCACAGCAGGCAGCAGCACAGAGATGCAGAGGCCAGAGCAGAGAGACAGCGGAACAAATACCATCAACAGATGTTGCTGTTCTAAGCAATCAAGCATTAAATGCAGCAATGAAAATAATACAGAAACAGTAAAAAGGTGCATTTCTCCTAAGAGAAATGCGTGGAATGACAATTATGGCCATATCACAAATGGTGCGTAGAGATCAGCCTGCACATGAATAATTGTAACTATGTAAAATTACATGGAAAATAGGTGTGAGGAAGAATATAACAGAATCATTTGCCTTCCGGGATGAATCTTTTATCTAGCCTGGGGTTTATATTTGCGATCTCCAGCCCATGTTCTGCATCCTCCTCCGCCTCCCCCCGTACCTCGTTGATGAGCATACGCCCCGCCATGCTGAGGCGTGTGCGGGGGGAAAAGTGCTGCGTGATCATGATGCGCAGGCTGGCCTCCGATAAGGTAAACTGGTGGGGGTGCAGGCTGAAGAGCTCGTCCACCATCATTACAGGGGACTCCTGCCCAGGGCGGTGACCTTGGGAGGGGGGTGGGGCAGGGGGAGGGGGGCGTTTCTTGCATCAGTATTGACTGGGAGGGGGGGGGGCATCCACAGCCACAAAGCGCGATGTAGACAACAGCACAGACAGACAGCAGTGGGTACTCAATACTGACACCCCCCCCCCTTACGGATAAACCCTGATCATACTGATGAAACACAAATGGACATCTGGACAGACAGAATGTGGTGCATTTTGGGGGGGGGGGGACGGGACGTGGTTCATTGGGTGAGTAGGTAGGCGGGGGACAGCGATACAAAAACACACCTGAGTAGACAGACAGCAGTAGAGAGATACACCTGGAAAGATAGGAGTAGCAGAGAGACACATCTGAGCAGATAGATACAAGCAGAGAAGAAAACCAGAGTGGACAGACCACAGTCAGACAGAAAACACCGGAGAAGACAGACAGGGATAGAAACTGAAACACACACTGAGAGGCGAGAGAGCAGTTCACTTAAAGGAGCCGTACATTTCCTCTCTCACTCTGACCGGCGACCCTCTCCTGAGCAGGACCTCGGCCTGGAGCCATCGGCTCTCTAATCTCGTCTTTCAGGCCCCCTGTGAGATTTCCCACCCTGCCTGAGACACAGTGTGACCTTGAACCTCCCTCACGCTGCAGAGCTGACTATGAAAATTCGGCTGTCACAGGCCTCGTCAGCAACACTCGCAGTATCTGTCACCGGGGACAACAGGATGAAAGCTGTCCAACTGAACTATGTCTCCTACTTCAACTTCAAAAATCCCAACAGTTTCTGGATGTGGTTGGCGAGAGGGAAGTGGTATGTATATCGCACCATCCTTCTTCAATTCTGATTGGCCGCTGCGCCCTGGCATGTGGCCTCGTCCATGACAGTAAAGTCAAATACCTGCAATCTGTCATTGCTACTTTACTACAGGACTAAGCCTGTGTGCCTGTGATCAAAAGGACGCTTTCTTACTCTACAAATTTCAAGTTGGGGGAGGCGTAAAGTGAATTTCCCCACAGGGATCAATAAAGAATCAATTATTATTATTACTTACAAAAGTTCAAGCTTGGTGGTGGCTTGTTGTCAGGACTGGAGAGTATGATCTCATGGTAAAGGGCTTTCCCACCTATTACATATGTCCCTAAATAGTGCTGTGAGGTCCAAGGTGTGCTGCACAACTGGTCAAGTATCAAAGCAGATCTGCTTAAGTAAATAAGGCAGTTTTCAGGAATGTGAAATTAACAAGGGGATTTGTCAGCCCAGAGTCTCTCTATATTCCACAGCTTGTGAGTGATAATTGAATACTGAGGCCAGATATAAGGTTAAAATAAAATGGCAGAAAGGATACGGAAATCATTCAACTGGAGGTATTAATCTGGCGTAAGCAAAATGGGTAATAAAGTTGGAGATTAATAAGGAAAATGACCTTCCGGTGTCCTGATTACTGAAGGGAGATTTGCTTAGAGGGGAAAAAAATAACAAAATGCATCAACTCAGATGGCAAGGCACTGAACTACACTGAACCTCAATGTGAAATCACTCCAAGAAAAGATGGACAGCATCCCTGGAAGACCCAGCAGCCATCTGACTCTCTAAACGCCGCATTCAGTTCAGCGTCTAATGAGCCGGTTGGTTCAGTGTGTAGCAGCCAATGCCAGCTCCCAGTGAAGGGGGAAGAAGATGGCCCCCACCCCCAAATGTAACTGAGTTACAAAACTGTACTCTGGGTACCTCAGTCCTGAGGAAGATTCTAGGCTGAGCCAAAAATTCCAAAGCCAGAATCTTGTAGGGAAAGTTTATCAGGAGCTGAATGAGGGTGGTTCACATGAATTTGATGTTTAAACTGTCCTGAGAGCCAAATATTGTAAGTCTGCACAGCATGAGGGGTAGAAAGATGGAGGAGGGGGAATGAGTCATAGAAAAAAAAAAGATTCAGAAGGCTGTCCCTCTGCACTGGGTTCTGGTGGTAATTTATAAGTGATTTATGCTAACACTAAGCAGGAATATACAGGACCTGGTTCTTCAAATGGAGCAAGAAAACGTATGACAGGGCGAGATACACACTTAATCTCTGACAACCTGGCAGAAATGTCAACATTGACAGACGGTGCAGTGCTGTAGGTTACAGATCCGAGCACCATTCTCTCAAATATCCCATCCAATCACCGAGTCACTCATGCTTTCCAGACCAATCAGTGGTCTGCGCTGATTCCTGTTGACAGTTCACTCGAATTAGACAGTAAAAACTAAACAATATACAGACATGTGATTGTGTCAGAGCTGCCAGAAATTTGCGGTGCTGAGTCACAGAGTTGACCTGCCTGAAGAAGTCTAAGATTATAATGTTATTTGGAAAGATTCTTTTCTCCTGATGAGAGGCCTCTGTCATTCTAAAAGAAGTAGCAGAGAAAGTGAAATACAATCCAAAAAAACACAGATATGCATTTCTGCTTCCAAAAATATGCTAACCCTAGTACTGCTTGAAGAGTCAGGAAAGGACTCTAATTTCTGATGGACTCTGAAAGTCTGACTTTTTCTAAAAAAAAAATTATATAAAAAAAATACACACCTTACAAGGAGGACAGGAGAGAGACAAGACAGCAGCAGAGAGATGGAAACATGCACCTTTTCTTAGCAGGACCATGGAGGTGTCGAGGTTAGCCCCTCCCTCTCCTACTGCCCCATCTTGGCGCCGCCTGTTCCCTAGACAGGGCAGCCCTGGACCTCCACACCGCCGCGTCACAAGCGCCCAGATCTGGGCGTTAAACCTGGGAGGGTCCAGACACAGCGTCAGCCATGGGGCATGAGGCACTACCATCACAGTGCTGCTCGTGGTGCTCACAGGCGAAACCGGGGAAAACTCACTCACCCTGAGTAACTCCAGTGAATATACCTCACTGCAGGGGGTAGCTAAGCAACATTCATGTTTTCTCACATTCCTGCTCGACGATCTATACTTCACAATAAACGTGTCATAGCAAAGCACAGTGGAGCTGCTTGCCAGGCTGAGGTATATAAAATGTATGCTAGCATTTTTATTCCTGTGTGTTAGCATTCCCTACGCTTGTTTGTATTCTATATCCTTCTGGCATTTTCGCTTTATATGCTAAACATGTCAATATCAAAGGTTTTTTTGTGTTCAGTGCTCCCTGTCAGGGAGTCTCATACAAAGCAAAACTCAAGCGAATAGATGAAAAGCAGTGAATGAATGCCAGTGCGAATGGATGGAAAACAAAAGCGCGTTGACTCACTTCATGATCAGAATGTAGATTCCATACATGGAGATGAGGATTATAGCCTCCCACCTGGGACAGGAGACAGACGTCATCTACTGCAGCCCCACATGTACATATACATATACACAACATTTCTATAATAACATACATTTCCTGCTTAATTACTCCAAATGCGCACAAATGTAGTTTTACGGCTACATATGCACTTGTAATAAAACACTGCCATGATCAAGCAGAACAGCACAGAGTATAAAAAATGTGTACTGTACTCAACACATTTGTTGCTAATTATTATTAACAATATTACTCTCTCCAAATCATTCTGGGAGCCTAATGTCCCTGGGTATGCCACAGTCAGTTGACGGGCATTGTCATTCATTTAACCTGTTCATTATCATCAGTTCAGCTCTTATAGATTCAATTTTGTTAATCTCAGGTTTTGTTACATCAGTCTCCAATTATACTCCCAAAAAATCCCTATGCCTTTCACCCTAGTGCTCCATGGTTCTGTTCACTGTCCCATCCAAAGCAAGCACAGTGGCCAAATACATGCAATTAGTTATATAACAAGTCTGGTAGAATTTTACAGTGATCACTCCTTACGACTGCTGATAATTCACAACCCAATAACAGATAGTATTAAAGAAAAAAAAAAAACACGATTAGAATGGGATCATCGAACTGATTACTTAAAACTTACCAGATAACCTTCTCATCATAGATCACCTGCAAACATCAGAGCATTAGTCAGCATAATCCCCAAAATAAATCCTAATTATGCTTTGATGATGCCTTTCGGATCCTGTATGCATTATTTTTTCATGATTTCATACGCAGACACATGCGGGTGATGAGAAGCATCATTCCAGGAGCATTAGCTTTAAGAGAGTAAGGTAGAACCTCACCAGGATCAAGGCCAGGACAGAGAAGATGTAGAACACAGAGTCACGGAACAGAGGCCACCAGGTTAAAGTCACCGTCTGAGGGAACAAGGGATAAAAGGCTTTGATTAGGGTCTCATCTGTTGTGGGGTCACATGGGGGGGGGGGGGTTATATGATCACAGGGTGAAGAATACTTTAATATATTAATCTGATCTTACACTAAGTAAGTGTGAGCGCAGTAACTACAGTATCCAGTGTTACCGTAAATAACAATGACATCGGGGAATGCTTACTTCCCCTTTGTATCTGTAGCTGTAAAATATTGTGTGGGAAAATGTGTATTATTGTTTCCTGGGATTGGATTAGAATTATTTTTTCGTGAGCTGGTCAAGAACCAACTAAAACATCGATGAGTGACAGCAACTTGGCCAAACGATAAAGTACATGACAGCTCGCAGAACTAAACTATGCAGCTATACAGATACCATATATGGAGAGTCTGTCACGCAGAGACACGCGGCACGGTGAAGAGAGGTCCTGCAGTTCAAGTAGTAACACGAGAACATGGACGGCACATTCAGTGTCCATGAGGCAAGACGCCCCATTAATTACAGTGGGTAAACTTAAATTCTCTTCACAAGAAAAACAATTTTCGAAAAGGCAAATTACTTCACAATCAGCAACAGCATAACAATAAAAGGAATGAGGACCACAAAAGGTTTTGTTAATGGCAGAGGTGGAAAGTTCAGGTCCAGAGACTAAAAATCCAGAAAAAAGATTTTGTCCAACCAACCAGTTGAATACTCTGTAACTGTGACTCTTTATATTCAACTGGTTGGTTGAAACTATATCATGGTTAGGATTTTTTTTTTCTTTCTGGACCTGAATTTTCCACCCCTGGTTAATTCATTTGCAACCTCAAAGTACAACAGAGAGGCTTCTAGTGGTTGAACAGAATACATATTCACATACTTAGGATAGTGCAGCAGTAATAGATGCAATTGTAATCTGAAGGTTGCTGGTCCAGTCGAGGTGGATCCTGCTGTAGTACTGTTGTTCAAGGTACTCAACCTGATTTGCTCCAGTAAAAAAATATCCATCCCCATAAATTAGTACTTTAGAGACGAGTAATTAATTCTAATTCCTGAGGTAGAACATAAGCAAGTAGGGATTTAAACATTAAGGATAAGTTCTTAAATCACCATCCTGCCAGTTTTGTTAATACCAGCCGTACTCCACTGTAAACTCTCCCTCATTACTTGATCAAGACCAGGAATGTGCCTTGACTTTACCCTCAAGGAGAACTTCACTGGTACATAACAAATGAACACACAAATCCACCTGCTCTTTGCATTGCCATCAACCCAATAGTTAGGCAATGAGACCACCATTTATGACTGGGACAACCACATCCTCCCCTTGGCGGGACATCCGACTTAAGCCATCAAAACTCTGCGGCTGCCTATACTCTTTTTGCCCTTCAAAGACATTTCATTATTGCTACTCTCCCTTGAGAGAATCTGCATCATGTCACAGTACATTGGTAATAGCATACAGGGCATTCAGGAGAATAGCACCATCTAACATCTAAGATCTTACCTGACCCCATACCTCAACAAAGTCTCTATGATCACCCACATCAAGACATCTGAATGACTGATGGATTAGAATCAAACTTTTCTGTTTTCAAAACCGAGTCACCAACAGTAGACCTGATCTGGATGAAAGTGATGAATGACTTGCTCTCTCTCTCCACTGATTGTGGCTGAATCTCTGTTCCCGTGTTTTGGACTTAAGTGCTGTTTTTGACACTCTAAATCATCATACTCTGTTAAATCTCAGTGGTCTTGTGCTTTACCAGTTTTAGTTTTATTTGTAAAAGCATTATTGTTCTGTTTGATGAAATGATGTGTCTACCAAATTCTCATTGGTCAGTTATAGATTGCCATAGAGTGAAACCTGCTGATTTTCTCCCTATGCATGCTTCCCATGGGGTTACTATTAGCAGACATGGTAAATCTTGTATGCTAATGACAGGGAGGTTTGAGGTCTATGTGAGACACACAGCATTCTGTCCTGCTCCAGTATGACCGAGGTGACTGTGAGGGCTTAAGTAAGTTATGTGTGTAGACAGATAATAACCTGCATTTGGACAGATTCACTGCTACTAAAGCAACAACTAAAACACGTGGTTTTGACAAGTTTATACCATTTAAATTAGAATTGTACCCTGCAGGTTATTTTTCGTTTGATTGTGGAATGTGGGTAAAATACAGCCCAGCAAGAATCTGGAATATGGCTAACATGCATGAGGGGGGAAATCTAGCCCCCGCATTCATTATGTCTAGATTAGATTATTGTAATATTTTGCTATCTGTTCGTTGAAATATACCCTTGAAAAACCTCCAAATGGCACTGAATACAGCATTCTCACTCTAAAATATTTGTCCTCCCTGCACTGGCATAAAAGTTGAAAATATTTGTCAATATTTCAGCCTTAATAGGGCCTGTTCTTAGTGATGATCTTGTCCCATATACCCGCCTTTAAATACAGCTTCACAAAGACTGCAGAACCTTCTCATATGCACATGTCTAGGATTCAAACACACTCTCTCTATATAATGGAGAAACATGGTTCATTGATGGTCCCACATTAAGCTTTTAAATTTTGCTTAACTTGGGTATTATTTAAATATGATCTGGGTTCACCTGGTGTTTCAGGTGGAAATAAGGTAAGAGAAATGTAACCAAATAGCAGAAAGACACTGTGTTCCTCTGTAGTTAAGTGTTCCTGGCCTTTGCTCTGCATTTTGCGTACAAGCTTAGCTATCAAACCTAAATTACGAATAAAAATGCCATTCAGACTCTGGAGACCAACCGTAATTCTGATGCCGACCTTAGCAACGAACGTTACTGCCTGAAGCTCTTTATTCTGTCAGGTCTCACTCATGGTAAGGTGTGCTCTGCCTCACATTGCCACAGTCCATCCCAGTTCATCCAAAATCCACTCAACTACCCTCCCACAATGCCAAATCTTTATAAACAAAATATTTAGCCATCCTTTTTGCTCTCCTCACTGCCTCCTGCTTAGGGCCATCTGGCCCTGAGCTCTCAGATCACCAACACGACCCAGACATCCGACTTGTGACAGTGTTTAGAAAAAGGATCCACATGTCAGCAGGTTCCAGCCTACAGATACTGTCATCTACACCAGCCCCTCTCAGTGCCCTGCCTGGAGAAACTGAATATCATAGATTTCTGGGGCCAAAGTGATTTCAGTCCCATTTAGATAATCTGGCATGTTCTTTAGAGCTTTTGTGATATTTGTGACATAATTTGAGTTTATTGATACTGTTTTCCTGGAACTTTTTTTCCCCAGAGTCAGAGAATACTTTTCAGTGGTCCCCAAATAGGGTTAGCCTGTTTTTGATTCAATCTGCTAGTCTAAAAAGCTTTGCTTTTATTCTGATTAAATTTAATTACTTGATCTAACTTAATTGACTGATTGCTAAATTAAAGTACAGCCTTACATGTTTATTATTGCTAACAGCTGTACCGTAACAGAACTTCCACGACCATAATCGCCTAGGAATGTTACGTTGGTATATACTTATGTGATATAAGGTCTTTATATATATATATATATATATATATATATAGAGAGAGAGAGAGAGAGAGAGAGAGTATAGTATTTCTATGAAGCAGTGTTGCATGTTGATACTATGGAGTTTAACCAAAGTTGGCAGTAAGGCATGTTCAATAAAAATATCTGCCAAATGAATATAAATATAGAAGACATAAATGTTACATTGGTCTGAGGGACAAACCTGTCCAGCGAATATCCCACACACCCCGATGATCACAAGGATGTTGAAGACCGCAGAGCCCACGATGGTACCGACCCCAAGATCGCCTTTTGTGATGAAAACGCCTGACAGGGGAAAAAGTATTTCCGTGTTAATGTCACAGAAAACAACAACAGTCTATTTTCAGCACGCTGTTACTGTCATATATTTTGATAAGATACCAAGTTTCTATTGCAGGGGATGCATGCGATTCGGCTGCGCCGCGGTGGGGATTAAACCTTCACTTACAGTGATTATTGTTTGCATTACGGTCACAGAGAAAAACAGCCCATGTCCCCCTAATAGGAACAGACAGTATGGTCTCTCATAAGCCCCATGCCGTTTTAATTATTATAATTTGCTCACCTCCCCTAACGTAATGGTTAGCCACAAAAATGGGTGATCAGTGATGAATGTGCTGACATCTACTGGTCTCTTGCGGAAATGTGCAACGGTAATTGAAGAAATACTAAATAATTAGAATTAAACTGGTCGGTAACGCACTAGCTTTCAAACTGTATACATCGCCAAAATAATAATTATAGTAAAGTAGCCTAATCGGAAGGAAACTCGGCAAGTTAAATTACAAAGTCGGACGCATTAATCATTTTCCGCAAGAAAATCTCCAAACTCCAAATCACCTTCCCTGGTCACAAAAGGTGAATCACGATTGTGTCTTCTGCGCCTGTGTTTTGCGAGTGCTGCGGCATGTACAGCGTCGACTGTCCCTCAATCTTTCCTGATCAGAAATGTTTAGTCATAGTTGAGGGGCGCATTAGGTCTTTACTGGAGATGAAGCAGATTGAGGGATCGCTATAGGTCCCTAATCTCTCTATACGTCCCTAATCTCGCTATAGGTCCAGTCCGGTACCCGCAGCCAGCATACAGCCCTAACCCTAAACACCGTTTAGCTGTTCCGCGTAGCAACAGGTTTGTCTGCGCTCCGGAGCCGAAGCGGAAAAAAGCAGGATTGCGAACATCGATCAGCTGCAGTGAGACTAGTCTGCACACACATGCACATGCATTTACATGTATGTAACACTTTCATTACCTTGTAAATAACCTGTATGCTTATCAAACTGCCCCAAAGCTTTTAATGTAACTAATTTTAGATTCATAATGGAATAATATAGATTTGCCGTAAGATTTCTTGCATGAGAGTCCGAAAGCGTGAGAGATGCTTGAGAGCTGGCAACCCTGCAAAGCTACTCGTAATTGGAGACGCGCTAGTTTCCAACAATGCTAAAAGCAGTGATGCTCAATGCCACCCCGGGGGCAGAGTTTCCGACATCGAGGCGAAATTGGACTAACTATCCAGATATTAAATCTCCACTTTGGCTGTTCACGCTGGAACTAAGGAAGTCCCTACAATCCATTGTATTAAAAGGAACTTAGAAATTAAGTGTGTGAAAGCAAAAACAAAATGTCAACATCTTATTGTCTCTGGTACCTTACCAATCCTTCATCTATCCTATCTATTACTAGACCAAGACTTAAACGTAAGTGTTCTACTAAGGGTTCCTGTGCTGATAACTTAATATCAATCCCACTGATAAGATTAAATGAGCCACAACATAAACCCAACATAAAATTCTTATTACTGAACGTTTTCTTTCTCATAAAAAAATCACATTTTGTCAACGACAGGGTGCTTGACACTGCTGTGGACCTGTGGTTATTAACAGAAACTTGGCTCAGATCCACAGACACTATTCTCCTTGCTGAAGCCTCACCCGATGGCTTTAGTTCCATACAGAAACCACGTGGCTCTGGGCAGGAAGGCAGCCAGGCAGCTATTTATAACTCATTATTAAAAATTGAACCCAAAATCATAAAAGATTTTACATTTGAAGCAACGTTACATCTCCTGGACCATAGACATCGTTCCTAACGGAATTTGGGGAACTTCTCACTGACCAAGTAATTAATTTAGAGAATATTATAATACTTGGAGATTTCAATATACGTGTGGACATAGAGACTCATGCCTTCAGCAAAAGTTTCCTGTCTCTCAGGGACTCTGTTGGATGTTTTCAGCGTGTAACGAGACCAACGCATGTGCACAGTCATACAATAGACTAGATTATCACTCATGGAGTTTATGCTCATCATATATCTGTCTGTCCATTGGAGAAGTGGTTCTCTGACCATTTTCTAATCACCTTCATGACTCAGCCACACTCTTTGACTACGGCAGAGAAGATTATGATGATGTCACCTAAATTTGCTAAAATTTATTAATGCAATAAGTAATGTGAACTTCACCTCTAGTACAAATGTCATTGAAGTCACATATGACTTTAATACAGTGATTAGTCAGGTTTTGGATGAAATGACGCCTTTGAAAAATAAAGTAGTCAAAACCACCAGACATTTCCCAAGGTTTAATGATCGCACACATTCTTACAAACAGGAATGCCACAGATTAGAGCGCAAATGGTGTTTAAATTGGCATGTTCCAGCCCGCAATAATACACTGAAGGCTCGTTCAGCCCATTACGCTAACGTTATTGATTGCAATAGAAATAATCCTTGCTACCTTTTTATGACAATAGCTCATTTAACAAATAAGACTGAACCTCTGCTACTTAGTCATATTAGTAGACCTGAACATTTTACGTACTTCTTTAACAATAAAATTACAAATATTAGACTTCAAACATGTTCAAATGGCTCACAAATAACTCTGATGCAAACAATGTGCACAGTCCCTTAACATATTTCATTTAGTCAATGAACAAAAATTATAAACACTAATTACTAAAACAAAACCGACCACTTGTCCACTGGACTCAATCCCTAGTCAACTTCTTAAAGAATCCCTGCGAGTTCTGGCAAGACCTGTAACTGGCATAATGATTGTGTCCCTGTCTTCAGGTGATGTGCCTGACCAATTTAACCCTGGGGAACCCACTGGGTCATATACGACCCTTCCTTTTTATTTCTGCCTTACATTCAACTCACTCATCAAAGTTAAGAATTTCTTTTTGCTTCACAGCCCATTGTACCATATACGACCCAGTAACAGCGACATTTAGTGATTACTGACTGAATTAACCAGACTTTTTCCCACATTAAATATGGACCCCACCGCGTTTTGAGGTTGTTGCTGTACATGCTGCAAAGATTCACCTGTCAAGCTGCAAATAGGTAAGTGGCAGAAATTTTGCACCATCAGTTATAATGTTTAGATGTTATAGAACATGTACAACTAGGTTTTGGATGTTTTGAAACTTTTCTGGCAACTGTGATGATCATGGTCCATGTGCTCAACATCAGCCTCAGACAAAAACAGAGGCAATATAGGTGGTGTAGCAGACCTTACAACCCACCACAGGTAAACTTTCTGTGTGTAGTGCACCTTTTTGCAGGTCTGTTCACTTGACCTGTTTCTTGATGGGTTGGCATATTTGAAGCACGTGTTTTATTGCCAGCACATGGTGAATGATGAAAAGGAAAACTCAATAAATGTATTTTGAAAATGAGAATGTTGCAAAGATTTGGTTTTTCCTTCTTTTCTGTCCTTATTTCATAGGTGAAATTAACAAGTCGGAACAGCATGAACAGCCCAGTGGGTCGTATATGGCACATTCATAACATGGACTGGGAAAGGGTTATTTTTACAAAACACCTGTTTTTGAGTTCACTGGGTCTGTATGATCATTTTAGCCAATGGACATGTCTTTCCTATAATGATACGGTGGTCTGGGTTCCCCAGGGTTAAAGTAGCAGTCATCGGACCATTACTGAAGAAACCAAGTCTGGATCCACAGGAGTGTAGCAGTAATACACCTGTTTCGAACATAACATTTTTGTCCAAAGTTGTGGAGAAGATCACTGCTCAACTTGTCATACTTGGAGACATGCAACATACTGGATAGATTGCAGTCACGCTTCTGTCAGGGACACATCACTGAAATTGGCTTAAAAGTCATAAATGATATAAAAATGGCAGCTGATGATGACAATAAAACTGTGCTTGTGTTTTTGGACCGTAGGGCAGCTTTTGACAGTGCTAGCCATTCATCTCTATTACATATACTTGAAATTGATGTTGGGTTGAGTGGAACGGTGTTAAACCCTAAATGACTAACCAATATCAGTATGTTCAAGTGTCCATTAACTGTTCTCGTTATCAAAGTCACCGGTCAAAACCAGACTACCACAGGGATCACTTCGTGATCCTATACTGTTCTCTCTCTACATACTGCCATTAGGTAACATAATGAGAAAACATAATGTTAGAGTGACTATGTCTTGTTTTGCAAAAAGTGGACACTGGGGGGCAGGATGCAGCAAGAGAGGCATCAAAGCATCGCAAATATGAAAACTGAAAGTATTCTGAGTGTCGAAGGCAAATGTCATCGTGAAAGAAAGTGAAATCCCAGACATTTTAGGCATTTTAAGACCCCAAAACAGAGGACAAGTCCGGGGAAAATTGGATGTATGGTCACCCTAGCTAATTATCATCCCTATGCTGATGACACCCAAATATACATTTTAGCCATGCCTAATGACACCGCTCTATTGTCACTTTAGCCAATGGCTTAATGAAGTTAAGACTTGGATGAGTAAAAACGTTTTGTCACTCAATGCAAAGAAAACCAAGGTTCTGTTGTTTGGAGACAAATCCATCGATAAGCCTGCTGTAATCTCGCTTTGAGGGGGTGAATTTTTCCTCAGCAGCTCAGCCCGTAACTTAATCGTCACCTTTCGTTAAAATTATGTGTGGATGCAATATCGAAGGCAAGCTTCCCACAGCTATGAAACACTGCCATACTACAATGTTTTCTTACTATTCAAGACACTGACAAACTAATACTAATACATGCTTTTGTATAAAGTAGGTTAGACCGCTGTAAGGGTCTATTACCTTGGAGCACACATCACACATTAAACATCGTGTAGCGTATTCGTGTAGCGTATTCAATTCTACGAATTGTCACCAGGCGCAGGAAGTTTGAACACATAACCCCTGCTCTTTGTTCCCTGCACTGGCTTCCTGCTAGGTTCAGGACTGACGTCAAAGTTCTCCTACAAAGTTCTCCTATAAAAGGCACCTAAAGGTCTAGCACCTACCTAAACAGATCCAATTCAAGCTTACAAGCCGCATGGTACACTGAGATCACAGAACGCAGGCTTCCTTGTTATTCCGCATATAAATCAGGTAACAGTTACTGGTGGACAAGTGCTTAACTGTAAACTCTGAGCTCCCGGAGGTCAAAGAGCACAGAGACCTACTGAGACCATCAATATATGAGGCACATTGACTTTGAATGACGTCACGCACAAATCAGTCTTCAACAACATTAACGTTAATTACCTAAACACATGACCGTACAATATTTTTTATCGACACCAAACTGTAAGAAGGACTAGTCCTCTTAGATGAGTTTAACAGTGCAGAAGAAACCTCATCTGTTTCAGTGGCCAAGAAATTGATTTTTCTGTACATGTGTGGTGTGGCTTTTCCATTTCAACTGAAAAGTCAGATAAGCGAAATATACTGATTTAGGCTGAATTATGTAAAAAAAATCATGCTAGTTCAATTTGTATTTATTCCAATGTGAGGAGGCACCCGAGAGCCGCGCGTGAAAACTTTTGAAACCAACCCTTTCTTTCTTTGTAATGTTAGCATGGCCAAGGTGGAGGTTGGGCAGCCAGTTCACCTTGCACCCCCAGAGGTTTTCTTCTCCCTGCTTGAGAGTTTTTGGTTCATCTCCTATGTTATCACCTGGCTTGCTTTCTTCTTGCTTTGGTTTTGACCGAACGCGATGGCGAGCAAATTTGAAATTGAGGACACACCCCCCGATCTTAAATCGGCGGTGTGGCAGCATTTTAGCTTTCCGGTAATCACAAACGAAAACAGCGAGAAAAGCACAGACAAGACAAAAACTGCGTGCAAACACTGTAAAAGATTGACAACACAAGTAGCACAACGAACATGCTTCAGCATGTCCACCAGCACCACAATGAGCTCAATTCACCACCATTTTGATTTGGGATTTTTTTAAAACAGTATTTTATTCAATTTCAGTTGCACTGTTAAGAAGAGAACACGTTTTGCACAGTTTAGAAAGATAAATAAAGGAATATTTTTCAATAAATGTCTGCAGCTCATTCTGTTAAAAAATCGTGAGAAAATCGTATTGTGAACTCAGAATCGTGAATCATTTCAAATCATGAGTTGAGTGTATCGTTACATCCCTATTCTGTACAGTTGTTGTAGGAATGTATTACAGGAGATAATAGCAGTGTGTGGCATTAAACTGACCTATCATACAGTTAGGAGAGAGGGACCAGGGGCCCTATTGACGAATCAGAAGAGAGTAGCAGTGTGTGGCATTATACTGACCTATCAGAGAGGTGAAGAGCTCTGGGGCTGAGCTGCCAGCTGCCATGAATGTGGCTCCTGCCACATCTTCACTGAGGTGCAGGTTCTGGAGGAGTGGAACAGGTTAACACACATTGGCACAGCAGACTGGACAGCACCAAAGCTAATGAAAAAAGAACGACATGGCCAAGGATATCTTCAGGCACCCTGCAATCGCTACTAACAATGGAGACTGATAAACTGTTGGTATTAGCACATCAAGGTAATGGCCGACATCCCAGCTCAGGCATATTGATTTCAGGGAGGGTGGGAGGGGGGAGGTGCTGGCTAGACTTGGGTGGTGTCACCATGTGATATACCGCGTTATTTTCGTTTGAAATGACCTGCCTATCCCCGTTTGGCAAATTATATCGGGTTAATACTGGAGTAGCGTGGCTTTTTAAAATACCGTCAAAATACCACACATGGGCAGTCGGCAGCTACAAATGAGGTCTGTTCCCTAAGTCTATGTTTAAGTTGAACTTGTAGGTGAGTGGGAAAAATAATAATGCACAACATAATAATAATAATACAGTTATAATAAAAGTAATTACATACAGCACTGTATTGTACTGTATCTTGAGTCAATGAAGCGCTGAAGCCACGCAATGATTTCGCGAGAAGTCGCAAAGTAGTGAGTGTGTTCATTATTATTAAACTCAAGTTTATACTGTAACAGGTGCGCAAGCGCAAGTACAAGTTCTCCGTAAGTGACATGTTCTTAACCTGGGGACTGCCTTTACTGCAGTATAATGTCTGGACAATACGATGGTATAAAAATGACTAATTTCCAGGACATTGTGCATCATTCCTGGGTGTCAGAGAGCTGCTGTCGATTTGCGGAAGACTCCCAGAACTTCCGGAAGAGGTGGGATGTCTGGAATGGGGGAGAGAGGTGCAGAGAAAGCCTAAGCACACATTCAGTGTGGGGGGGGGAGTCAGAAGTATATAGGCTAAGACAGCTGGGGAGTCTTTGGTGCACATGTACCTAATTGATATACGGTGGGAGCCCCAGCAAAGAAGAAAAGGACAGAAGGTTAGGCTAATATTTTTCCCCCCAAGTTGCACCGAGCTGTTGAGTGCATACTGATGCCGGTGCCCCCTGCAGTGCACTGATGGCATGGCAGCCCGCCAGGGCCAGATTTACACCACACTGACATGGGTTTCTACTAAAAAGCAGGACTCCGTTTATCATTTAAGCAGGGCAAAGTTAATGAGGCTCTGCTTTAAAATAGCTTTGCTATTTGAGATTTCTAGGGGGCAGCTTTGATCTGGATTTCACATCCCTCCCCAAATGTCTGCAGAAATATTCCGCTGGGAAAACCTTCAAGCTAATTAAATATAAAAGTAATGTTTTGTTTATTTATGCCCTATCTACTAGGCATATAAAAAAACAAGAATGTGTGGCACAGCATAAAAATGAACACATTGTATTCAATCTTCAGAGTGTACAATGCAGAAATGAGTCAGAATCAAAAGAAACGGTTTCCAGATGATGATATGAAAGGGCGCCCGCTGAGCGCTTACCTCTGAGATCTTTTCCAGAGATGGGACAAAGTAGTCATCGCAGACAATCGCAAGAGCATAGAACATGTAAATGGCCTGAGACATGAGAAACATATATACATTAACACAGACATCAACACAAAAAAGCACATATTAGTAGAAGCATGAAAACTTCAAATGGCAATAGGTCAGAACCTGTTGGGTCCTTTCTGATATGTTGGATGAAACCTTAAATGAGCAGCATTACATAAGCAGGTATTGAATCATTTAAACAGAAAGGTGTAATGCCATTGCAGGAGGCTCATGCGAGTTTTATGTACACAAAAATGTTCTGAGGGCAGAAGGAACGAATGATTAGGCATGATTAGTTCAGAGAGAAAACCAATAAAATTGTAGAGGAGGTGGGTCCAAGAACTACAGAAGGTGGGACCAACCAATCAGATCTCTTGGTCCTGCCTCCTCAAGTTACTTGGACCCACCACCTCTACAATTTGATTGGTTTTCTCTCCGAACCAATCATTGTTCCTTCTGCCCTCAGAACATTTTTGTGTAAGGAAAATCTCCCACAAGCTCACAGAAGCCCACAAAATAAAGGCAACATATAAATACAGAAAAACAAAATCGGCAATATAACATTAATATAAAATAAGGATGGAGAAGTTATTAACTGAATAAAGTTTTTCATTAACAAACTTGCATAATCTATAACAATATATTACTGAAAAATAGTAGAAAGCAAATCTAGCTAACGCTGGTACTGAAGTATGTAGTGATCTGTGGTGAAGTACTGTGACGGGCAGCTGCTGTGACCCTGGGCAGAGGTACTACTCACACACAGCACGTGGAGGAGCACCGCCCCACGTCTCCTCTGCTCCTTTGTGAAGATGTCCTGCGGGAACTCATGGATAGCTGGAGAGGAGCACGAACCTTCATCAGCAACAAGTACCTGCAGACCCTCTTCAGTCCTCAGGATCTACCTCTTCGCCTTTCTGAGTTTCCCTCAGACTGATCTTGGTTCTTAGTCCCTTCTCTCAGCACAGGCTGTCCCTGAATTAAGAATATCTGACTTACGGGCAACTTTAATTTACGAACGGACTACCATAAAGGGTATAATATAAAAAATCTGGGTTAGATACCATGGCTCATAATAAGGAATGCATGGATTACTTTGTGAGGCTTCTGAAAACATTCTTTAGTGATTCGTCGGATCGAAGTACAGTACAGTACCGCATGTAGTTACTCTATTATGTACTGTATTATTGTTTTTCCAACTTACCTACAAATTCGATTTAAACACAGACATAGGGAACGGACCTCATTCATAGCCTGGGGACTGTCTATACATCAGTCCAGTACATCAGTGTGTGCATGAAATACTTCTGATCATGTTTGAAAATTAAAATCAGTGGGTCTGAATATGAAAAAAAAACATCATTCTTGAGAAGAATTTGCTAGACGTATGAGCTTTATGGAACTACTTTTGAATGCCTGTTGAGTTTCTCTCACACACAGTGTCCCTGTTTTTCTACAGCATTGAGATTTTCATCGTATTGAGTCCAGTTCGGGACAGAAGGGTGTAGGATGAAAGGAAGGATGGGACCCTGGAGACACAGGTGCACGTGGATATGGTGAACAGGTGACATCAGGCCACTGCTTGACGTGAGGCCTGAGGTCGGATGAAATCCATCGGTATTGTCAGAGCTTCACGTCCTCCTCCATGTCAACAAGCCTACGACTGAATCTGAGATCTGATAAGGCCCTGCATAAAGGCCAAGAGATGGACTAGAGAGAGAGGATTCCACCAAGCAGATGTGTGCAGAAGATGGTACTTTTGGTGGTCAGAAGAGACAAACACATAAGGCAATATACACGTCAGCTCTCTGAGGCGGCAAAGACAAGCATAAATATCTCCTATTCCGATACCTTACAGATAAACGCAGTAAACAGAGATATTTCTCAGTATAATATTGGTTCCAGTAAATGAGCAGCAGCCAACAGTGAGCGAAACGTCCACCATGATACAGCTTTCTCTGTCTGAATGTGAAGAACACACCAGTCGCTGTAGGAGTAATTTGCTATTTCCGTGTTCAAGTCATCCATCTAGACGTAGCGGCAACTTGGGTTTATCCGGGCGAATGTGAAGCTTATTTTCAGCCGGCTTGTTTCACAGCGTGATGCAAGAAAGACAAAAGTAATAAAAACGGATGATGACCGCAGCTCCGAGTGTCTCCTGGGTCTTTTGCGGGGCTTTAAATAGATCAGGCTATGATGCAATTTACATGTTGGATCGCAACAGCCAGGTGGGACAAGAATTAAAAATAAACCCAGAGTCAAAATAATAATTAAGCTGGAACGAGCAAATTTAACTGAAAACGCTGCTTATTCCCCAATGTGCACGTCACTTATCTTGCAGAATAGGAGCAAATTCCTTTTTCTTCATTCCATGATTACAGGTGGAAGGTCATTTGAGGGCTTGGCGTGTACCAACATGTGAGAAGATCCACGAGTGTCCAGTCAGCCAGCCTGTAATGGTGTTGCTGGTTCAATGGGAATTGTGAGAGCACAGGGAGGGCAGGTGTTCCCAGGGGGCAGCTCGTGTAAGGCTATACTTGCTGAGTGAGCCTGTACATATTTTGGAGTTTGTTCACATATGTTTGCTGGAGAGAGTATGGGATCTGACTTAGTCCCTTTCATCTGCAACCCAAGCAAGAACATCAATGGTAACATATTGTTCACTCTTTGTCAGTCAATGGAGTGGTTTTCTGTTCAGCAATCTGTCTAATATTATATATTAGTCAGCGGACTGAATCCAACCAAGGAACACCGGAGAGAAGCAACTATCTTCATTGCTATCTACTGTATGTTCACGTTAAGGGTACCCCTTCAAAATACACCCAACAGAATATGTCTTTGGAAACCCCCCCAAACCCCTAGAAATTCTATCCAGCCTGTAAGAGTAGATTCACCGCAGAAAAAATGGGGCTTGACTAAAGGTTCTGACAAGTTGCCTCAGCCTGACACAGCAGTTGCTATGGAGACCCTCTCCCTGGGAGAGCCGTTGGCCCCAAGGATGTTGACGGGCATCAGCAAGAAGCCAATTGCAGTTTCCTGGTACTGAGGAGGCGGGAGGAGAATTCACACACGAGATAACAATGTAAAAAAAAACCTTAGAGACATGAATTATGAAATGTGAAGGAAAAATGGGAGGAATTATTAAAGGAGTAGCTTGATTCTCAAAATAGATTTTTCTTGTCTTCAACGTCAGACAAGTGTGGTGCTGGTGTCAAACTGGCTTTCGTTTTGATCATGGCCTCCTTTTTGTACCACAGTAAGAGGCTTTAATGATTCACTGGGGGCCACTGGGGGCCACTGGGGGGGTGTCTGTTGACTGGAACGACCAGCTGGGAGGTGATTTGGCACCATCCACAGGAACCCCAGAACCAGAGGTGGGGTTGCAAAAGGGAAACTCACTTGGACGCCTGAACCTCATTCAGGAGCCTAATACAATTACAAGTAATCAAAGTACCACAGTCACATAAAACTGCTTGGGGTTTATATTAGGAGCTGATTCTCCTGGGTGGACTGGTCTGTAATGCGTTGGGAGTGTCGAGGCTTTCTGCTCCAAGCACTCGTCCACCGAGAAGCTCATGATTCCCTTTAGCCGCTGCCACAGATTTTGGTTCCCCAGCGCTTTCTCAGTCTGTCAGTCAGTCAGCCTGTCAGTCAGCCTGTCAGTCAGCCTGTCAGTCAGCCTGTCAGTCAGCCTGTCAGTCAGCCTGTCAGTCAGCCTGTCAGTCAGTCTGTCTGTCCGCAATGCCATCAATACCAGGGATCTGCCTTGGCATTTTGTATTAAATGGCAAAAAGGCAGGACAAAGATTAACCTTTTGATATCTTAAAGGTTACCTGGCATCATGTTACGGTTTGTTGCATGGACTAAAGCTGCAAAAAAAATTTTTTTTTAAATCACAGCCTAGCCTAGTCTATTTAGCAAATGCAGTAATTTTAAGGAGGGATCGCCAGAGCAGAGCAAATATTGCGTAGTGTTGCCAAAACACAGTCATCATTGCACAAACCGGTAATCACAAAAAAGGGAGGGAAAAAAAACCACAGCGAATAACTGATTAACGGAGGGAAAAAAGACATACAACACACTACACAGAAAGGTCTACAAAGAAGCCTGCGAGCGTCAGAATAAAAAAACATGGCAGAGAAAGCTGCTGTGTTCACTGACACACAAACCCTCTCTGGAATACACTTAACAAGGCTGGGGGGGGGTTCTGCCACAAAGCAAGCGACGCAGTAACTAACGAGCTTCAAACGAGCGCCGTGATTCAGTCGCATATAAACTTAAGCAGATCCCCCACCCTTGGCGGCCTGTGATCTCGGATCAAAGCTCGGCTCGGCGAGGAAGAGCTCCTGATGTCATGGGATGCGCTCGTCTGCCTCGGGCCGACCTGAGACCCGCGCCGCGGAGGGTAACTGGGGCCGGCGTTGAAAGGGTGCAGGCCGAATAACTGTGCCGTGGAGTTAACGCACCTCCCTGTCCGCCTGTGCCGAATGCAGCAGCCAGACAGCACAGCATGCAAGCACAGCTCTATAGAGCATCCTCACTAACTAACAAGCCGTTATATTAACCCTATGTTGGTGGTGGCCAATGCTGAGTGGATGCAGAGAAGAGAGTAGCAGCCATATTATACAAGGAGGGGCAGCATGGTGGTGCAGTGGTTAGCACTGTTGCCTCACCCCTCTGGGATCTGGGTTCGAGTCTCCACCATGGGTCCATGTATGTGGAGCATGTTCTCCCTGTGCTGTTGTGGGGCTTCCTCTGGGTACTCTGCTTCCCTCCCCCCAGTCCAAAAACATGCTGAGGCTAATTTTGGCTACCAAACAGCCTATAGCTATGCCTGTGTGAGTGAATGCTCAGTGTGCCCTGCAATGGGCTGGTACCCCATCCTGGGTTGTTCCTTGCCTTGTGCCCATGGCTCCAGACCCCCACCCCCCACCTCCATGATCCTGAATAGGACAAGAAAATGAATGGATGGATGGATTGTACTAGGAAAATCCTTTATCTGGGTTTCTGTTCAATCACAGCAACCATCATTACTCTCCTTGTGTATCAAATCTAGGAAAATCCACAGTTACTCATAAAGCTTTTGTGCCAAATATACACTTGATTCTCAGGTCAGATCTGATAGCATCAGCTTTTTCCCCAAGTAACAACCTACATCTTTCTTTCCCTTTAACATAGTTCTATCGGCACAGAGAAACGGACCCTTCGGTGAGGCCCACAAGGGACTTTTATTTTCTCGTGGACCCCCCCCCCCCTCACATTGATTGATGCTGATAGACTGTAACGGTGGCATGAAACAGTGGAGGGGCGCCCCACAGGAACAGCAATATGGCAGAGGAAAGGGCAATATATCCACATGTGATTGGGGGGGGGTTAGCCAAGTGTGTTACGCACTGGCTAGAGCCACAGATTTCTCTGGGAAGCTGCGGGTTCCAATCCCTCAATGGATCTTCACCCTTCACTTCAATTAGTCCATTACAAACCCAGCTACACGTACTACAAAAACCATATGGAGATTCAAAAAAAACGAAGGCACTTCAACCGGGAAGTTAATAATAACCGTATTCATTACTCAACCTAAAAATGCAGGCGAAAGAAAAATGAGTCGGACAAGAGGTCGAAATATCCCGACGCGTGCCAGAAGGCCATCGCATCTCAGAGGCGAATTTCTGTCAGACGCCGTCAGATGAGCTGAAGCAACATGACGAGACTGTACTCTCTCATACCGTCAAAACTGTTTGGTTTAGACGGCACAGGATGTTGCTGCGCTGTTCCATTTTAACAGCACCATATGCATAGTTTATACGACCATGAATTATTACTCTTTGCCTGATAGAGATGGAATTACTATCATTCATTATTTGCTCTCTTGTCGGTGACATAATTTTCTCCACTCTGTGTTTGGTAAAAATCCTTGACGACCTTGTCCATGATTTCAGATGACGTTTTTTTTTTTTGCATTTAACCAGAAAAGAAAACTTCCCCCTTGGGACAGGCTTTCTCAAGATAAGTATTCTGGGACTGTGTGGCCAGACCACATTTCCTTACTGTTCTTCTCATAATATTAAAATAAATGCTGCACAGACTAATCAACTCAGCTGATGGATTTCCCACTTTGCCAAGCCATATAAATGACCCACTAAAAAAAAAAAACCACACACATCATCTCCCCATCGCTACTGTATTTCTGGAAGTTTGGACACAGCATTAATAAGGCTGGCAGCGTCTTGCTCCTTTCGGGACATTATATTCTCTCAGCCCTTGTTCTCTGAAAGCTTGAAATACAGACTTCCCTTGGTTTAAAAAATTTAGCATTTGGTTGCCTAGCAACACAGGCCTCAAAGGGACTCGGCTCTGGGTGCCAGGCAGCTGTCTGCGTCCTTTTAAGGAATGGGGAGAAAGACCAAGAGCGAGGGATGATGGGAAAGGGAGAAATTCCATTGATTGATTGCTCTTGTACGTATATTAAATATAATAAAAGGTGATAGCAAGTACAAGGCAGGAAATGAACCTTGTATGTCCAATCCAGTAACAAACAAAATTAATTCCACAATGAATGCCTTAGCTTTCTGAGGGCTCTGTGCTGCTATGATTTGATTGTTAATTTTAGAATAATAAAATTAATAATAAAAACAACAGGAATCCAGCAGCTAATGCTTCCTGAATCCCTAATAAACCTGCTTCATTGGAAGGGAGTCTGACTGAGACTGAGCAATGGCCGTCCCCATCTCAGTGTTTGAGTGGGTTACTGAGTTAGTACACGTGGGTAACTAGGCTTTGCGGAAGGCTAATGCTGAGGGGATGAAGAGGAGCTGATTTTTTGGTTTGTTTTCAGTGGATGTGTCTTCCTCCGGGCCCCTAATCGCAGGGACCCCTAATGGAGACAATGCTGGCTGATTTAATCCCTCCTATAGTAACTGCAGTCATGACTGCTGATGATGTAGCTTCTGTACTTCAGAAGGCAGATACTCCTCATCTTAAAGACTGTATGTCATTTTTACACATACTGTGTTTACTTAATATTTCGCCATTTAGCAAATGCTTTTTCCCAGGGTCAGCCCACCCCTGGAGCAATTGGGGTTAAGGGCCTGCTGGGATTTGAACCGACGACCTTCTGATCGCAGGCAGTCCTAACCCACACAGCCAGACGTCGCCCCAACAGCTTTGTTTGCCTGCTGTTGCGACCCAAAATCAAGCATTAGCTTATTTTGACACTTGCGTGTGTGTGAGCCAGGAGGGAACAAGGGACGACTTAATAGCTTCTGACGCCAAGATCAGCTATGACCTCTGAAGGGGGTTTTTCCAGAGATCCATGAAGAGTGTTCATGTGTCAGCCATGGCACTAAAACTGTCACACTGGACATTCCTCGGCTCCTTGAGAGTGTGCTTTTCATTACGTATCCATGCTTTGTTCCGCTAAACTTTTCCATATACATGTCAAATGACTACTGCTATGAAACCTTTCAGTCACATAAGAAATACTGATGGATTCCTCAACTAGAGCCTACAGAGTAAGAAATTCCACCCAAATCATCACTTAATTCTCTTTCAATTAAAAGTTTTCAGCCCTTAAAATCGTAACATACATCTCTGTTGAGCTTTAAAGGTAACGATAAACTTGCAACTCTGAAAGCTAACATTTCAAAGCTACAGTATAAATGACATGCACCAGATAAAGCCATTTTTGAGAGTTATATTTAACTTTCCTATTTCTCTTGGTATAACAAAACATACATAAAAAAAACAGGTGAAGGGGAGCAGGGAGAATGATATAAACAGCCTCCAGCCCTGTGTCTATTCTAGATGTTTAAATTGTCATAAAAATAGATAGCAGTCATCCAAAGAACCGGCTTAGTTTACACCAGAATCATCCTCAAATCAGCAGCATGTAGGAAGCAGTTGCGTATTGGGGACCTAATTGTTGAATTCTTACCTTGGTGGAGCTGCTGAGCCTCCGTGACCCTCACAGCCCATAATCATACAGCTGACACGTTAAGAAAGGAAGCGAAAGGAACCCCCCCCCCCCATCACATAAGCAGACAAAGGCCCCTCAGATTTAAAAATTATGCATTAATAGTGAAATAGCAACTTTGAGTACCAGGCATGATAATCAAACCAAAACCACACACACACTTGTATTCTTACCTTTATGGGGACCATCCATTCATTTCTATTGGGAAAAACCCTAATCCCAACAATGATAATCTTAACCCCGACCCAGCCCTAACCTTAACCATAAGTAGCCAAACGAAATACAAGTCATTTGGCATGTTTAATTGTTTGAGTGCAGTCACAGATCTTGATACAATTGAGTTTCCCCTTCTAGAGTCTGAAAAAAATAGGGCGGGGGTTCGAGGCTGATTTGGTCCCTACTAATGTCGAAACCAATATGACATACACACAAGGCTATGAAAATACAGCTTCAGTTTGCAAAAAAAAAATGAATCCTTTCCATTTTTCCTTCACTCTTTAACACAACCATCAGTCGTTTATTTCTGTTCCCTTAAGGAACTATCAGGTGAGATGTGCGTGGACATATCATAGGCTTTGCTCTTCAGTCACCCCTGACTATTGACCCATGTTTATCCCTAAACAGCCTACAGTTACTTCCCAGACTAGGCCTTCTGACAGACTTCAGATAATTGACCTAAAAGCATGACATTGGGTAGTGCTGAATCAAGGATGGATTTTGTGTTCCTTCAGGCTTTCATCTATAGCTTGTTCTCTCTTCTCTTCACATCCCACCAGGTAATTAGGTCTTCTGTGAACTGGCAGCTATTGTATGATGCAAAGGATCTAGGTTCTCAGTCCTGCTGGCTATTAGAAGATCAATCATCTTCAGGTTTGTAAAGAGTTTTTTTTTTTTTCCACACCAGTGATTTTTCGAAGCACCACAGTTCACAAAACAAAGTCTAATTGCACCACGGTGTTTCTGGGGAAAACAATTGTAGAGCTCATTAACATTTAATTTGATTAAGTGATGTTCCCACCCACAGCAACACTCTGGACCACTGCAACAACAATGAAGCAGAAAAATAACATTGCTGCCACCAGAGGTAGGGAAGGCTTGCAGTTAGGAGTGAATGGATGTTACATCTGAATCATCTGATGGACCATGTCTAGCCTAGCCAGCTGAAGAGGACACATCATGCTTTTTATCTGCGACTTAGAAGCGCGTCCGGTTTGGTGGATCTGGCTTCCTCCTGGACCCCGAAGGGGCTAACAGAGAGAAGTCCCAGAGATATGTTAGATCTTTAGGGCTTTGCTTTCTTATAGTTAAGTCATTTGTTTTGGGGATATAATTCAGCATAAGTTCTGACAAGAAGTCACCTCTGCCCAATTTTACATGTAATTTTATGTATTGTTGTACTTCTCAGTAAAAGGGTAAAACCGTTAAAAAGGTGTGCCTAGGATAGTAGTGACTGGACTGCTGGGATAGATGCTGTATCAGTGCCACCCAGAATGGGTGGGTGGGTTATGAAAATGTATGGATAGACTGACATAGCAACTGATAAACTCAACCTCTGATGAGGACCCGGAAATATTGTGCCTTTTAGATGAAGGAGCTCCAGGTGAAGAAGATAAGACATTAATATGTAATTGATTTGGATTTATTGGAGACTACCTGCTCTTGGCTGGTCGGAGGTCTGGTTCTCCTCTCTCTCCTGCATCAGCCTGCGTGTGGACCAGTCCAAAGTGTTTTCCTCATTAGGAACAGATCCGGGGGACTTTGTGTCTGTAAGTAGATAAAAGCGAGTCACCATTTTTGTACATTGAATACAAAAGCATTTGTCATCATTAAGTACTGCAGACTTCAGTCTCAACTCCCTTACTAACCAGACTCAGGTTCCATCTTCTGTAGATTTTGTAATTTAATCTCCATGCTACATAGCTCTGCTAAGTCTCCAGTTAAGTAACTAAATAAGGTTTTATGATCCCATGTGATTACTTAGAGTCTCTGAGAGGATCTCTGGGAGATCCTGATCGCCCATTTCCTACAAGATGTAACTGGTCTTCCTTGGTGTTTTTAACCTTCATTTTAAGACCACGAACATCAGTTTGTTTCTCTTCCAACCCATGTAAATCTCCATCCCATTAATGGCAGATGTTTCCTCTTCATATTCTAAGGAACGAGTCTTCCTGCTGAGGTCTGTGTGTAGTAGATTGCCTGTCCCTGTAAACTTGCCTGTTCAACACCCCCAAAATACGCCACATTGTGGGAAAGCCTTCACATTTTGTACTGCATAGAAGTTACTCGCCCATTGGCGGGTCTTTTAAAAATATCAGTCAGTCTGCACCGTAGGGCTGCAGTGATAAATAAACCACAGCTTTTGTTGGGTGTTCAAGCTGCCTGGTTTTGCTGAGCTCACATATCTGATTCAGAATCCAAGCATCAGCTCATTCCCAATTAGAAGACCTTAATGAGTTATGCAGAGAACTTCTCCCCCATGTTCCTCTGATGCTGGAGCCTGATGGTCCATTTCATCTATTGTCCCACTGCTTGGGGAACTTCCGCTTCATAAAAAAACTTCACACCTTACTTGCGGATATAGATAAGGAAATTATACCCACAGTGCACTGACATAGCTGTCTGTATAGGCCCTCTCTCAGTCTCCTGTGCCAGTAAACCACGATTCAGCTTCCCCATTTGCCGATTTCAAGGCATTTTTATCCAGAAACATTGTATTCTGAAGCACCACTTGAAAGGGCCAAGGAATTATTTTAAATTTTCCCAGCACTGGGTTCATTTTAGGGATTTGGATGCTCTCTGGAATAGTACAAAAAAAAAACCCTGGTAAATCACTTTCTGCTATACAAAAAAAAAAACACGTGTGATGCAAATTAAAATCATGTTAACCTATTGAGTGATTCATTGATCTTGTGTTTTTCTATGTCGTCTTAATTTAGTTTCAATCGTTAACGCTCTTTATTAGCCCATCTGTCTGAAACAGCAGCACTATTTTCACATCCTTCCTGTCAAGTGCTCTGAGGATGACAGCAAGACTCCCACTACGAAACAGCATCAGCACACTCACACTGGGGCTATAATTAGCACTACTGGTTTTCTGTTTTCTCACAAGTGCCTTATCTTATACTAAAGGCCAGTATATTTTTCTTTTTCCCATTTTCTTCCATCGCATAGCTATATAAGGACAAACCTAGATGTTCAGCAGTCAATGGAAAAATAAACCAAAAAGCAATACAAAGCAAGATAAGGCCACCAACTGACAAGGAATGAGATAACGATTAACAAAATAAGGTGTTTTCTTAAGCTTAGTAAATGATAATATGATGCCAGAGGGATTTGCTACCCACAGATTTCTCCACGATGGAAAAGGCCTTGCATCTTTTCCCTTACGTAAATTTTTCCTATATACAACATGAACCTCAAAAATAAATTGAATTTTATTGGAAACCACAAACAATAAGAGTCCTAGAAAAACACCTCAAACAGTATTGTCATTATCTCTACAAACTGTCATTAACTACAAACCTATCAATCAATTAAAAAAAAAAAACCCAAGAAGTCAAAAATGGCCTTGCACATTCTTTATATCTTGAATGGTCTCCATGGAAACCTGGCCCAAGCTAATCATGGGAAAGGGGAATTTTTGTCCCAGCTGAATGGGGATAGGCCAAGGAGGAAAAACCAGCCCTTCATTTGCATCGTAAACTAATCAGATCCAAAAATAGCTTCCACGGGCTGACAGCCGCCTCATTAGCATGTCCGTGTGCGGATCCCTTTTTAAAATGAGCGGTTCGTTAATAGGGTGGTGCAAGAGCCGGGTGATGCGAATGGTGAGAAGTATTCATCCATGAACTGCTTGGCACAAATGTCACGCTGCATCCAGGTGCCTTATTCTTATCGACATGATAAAGATGGAAATATTTTTACGTGAGAAAACTATTAATACTTGGACCAATGTATTCCTGAGAATACTCATTCCTCACCTCTGCTGGTACTCATCACTTTATTTAATTATTTATCCTTAGCCAGTAGACACTATATTTGCATATTTGCACCACCCTTTCATGCTGCTGTGTTATTTGCTATAAGGATCGTACGACAAAGCACTCTTGACTTGACTGCTATCGAGAAGACCTGATCATGAACGCTACCTGGAACCGCTACGGAACGATGAGACAACCGGCAATTAGATGAAGCAGTTGCTCATGGGAGTCATACCTACACAAAAATGTTCTGAGGGCAGAACAAATTATAATTATAATGTCTTGATTCCACTTCCTCTGCAGTCTGATTGGTTATCTCTCTGAACCAATCATTTTTTGTTCTGCGCTCAGGACATTTTTGTGTCGGTAAACTCCCACGAGTGAAGCAGTTAGCTGAAGGGGATTCAGGAGAACAACATCACTGAGCAGACGCTGTGTTTAGATTAACTGGAGCTCCCTCCAACTGCAGAAATATGCAACGCGAGGGAGCAGTTTTTGGTCAACAGGCAATTTCTCACTAAGCTACCAAGGGGGACGTGTTGAGTCAGCATCATGGCCTCATGGGTGCCATCTCTCCATGACAGCAGACAGAGCAGTTATTAGTTTTGTTCAGGCCATGTCTGTTTTTGTTGGTGCTTTGCACTGATCTGGCTGTAAAGGCATAAACTCACAATCTGTTTATGATGACACATTCCTGACCTATTTCCAAGTGTGTGGACTGTATAATGTCCCGATACCTGTTAGAGTAAGCAACCAACCGCACTGCTATATCAAAAAACCTTCTGCAGTACACAGACACGCACGACGAGTACAAGAGTGAATCTCAAACACACGACACTTACAAATATTACTAACACACCCTCAGAGTCATACACCTGCACCCAACACAATGCTAATGCGCAAACTTGAAAACGGCTAGCATCACACATAGATAAATGTACGTGCAACCACTCTGCCCTCTGCCCTGGGGCTCAAAAGCCTGGGTGGGCACCTCCCCCTATACTACAGAGCCATTTATCTGGCAGCAAGGCAGACAGGGTGAGTCTGGGGCGTCTCACTGCGGCTTGAGGCCGCCGGTCTAAGTGCTACAGCATCAATAAGCTCATTCAAGTTCCGGTGGCTCTGTTGCGACAAGCGTGTGACTTTGCGATTTTGCGTGGGCCCTAATTATCTACTGGTTCAAGAGCAGTAATATCAACAGAGCCAAAATAAGTCATCAGGGATTGAGTGAGTCATCACTGAGTATGAATGAGATCCCAAGCATAACTCCAATCTCATTTTCACATCTTTTCTGTCCAATATCAACAGAATTTATGATGACCATAATAAGGCCAACTTTATCATATTATATATATATATATACACCGATTTAATGCAATGCAACCGATTTCATGAGCCACAAATGAGAAGTAGTGCTTAAACAGTATAAAACTACAACTTTCCCTTCTGTTGATAAAAGGCGCAGCCATCTCAGATTCTGAACTCGGGATCCTCTGTGCTACTCCTATGTTTCGGATCTCTGAGAAATGGGAGTGCGCATGTTGTCACTTCTGGCTTCAAAACTCCGGAATCCGACTCGGAATACGAGTTCCGAGGGCAAATGGAACGCACCAGAACTGCCCGAAATGGGTTGACAGAGACATTTCATGGATTTTGAGTCATTCTGCGCTGCAGATGGGTTAATTGCGTTAAAAATTTTAATCAGATTAATCATGATGATGGATTAATCCGCGTTAACCCGTTAATTTTGACAGCCCTAATATATATATATATATAATATATATATATATTCTTTTTTCAAAGGTAATACATTTCTCATTTGAAAGACTAGTGAGAGGTACTGAAACAATTTATCCATTAAAACCATTTATTAGGCTCCATAGTGAAACAGACAAAAAGATGCATAAATGCCTTCCTATGCTAGGTAAAGAGTAAGCAAGGAATCTAAAAACATTTCAATAAATAGCAAAATTTGAAAATAAATAGTTGCAATATGCATTAAATCACTGCATTGGTCGTAACCCTGATGCAAAAATTCCAAACAAGTGGTCTGTCATCATTAATCGAAATGTCACGAGATGTAACGAAACAAAATCACTAAAACAAAATTATTATAATTCCTGATTTCTGGCTCTGTGCTCCATTTTTCCCTTCAGTGATCAGCAAGAAACTAGGAGTCATTAAAAAACAGTTGAAATGTTATCAAAACCCAGATGAGTTTCTTGTGTCCCAAAGGGTCCAATTAGACAGCACCGTAGCAGAACCCAACTCCAAAGTGCGGTGAGGGGAAGCACAAAATGAAAACACGGCCTGCATGTGCCTGTTAATATGACGTCCAAGGGATTTTATTCAGGATGTGTAATGCGTTCCTCATTTTTGAGGTTTTATGTTCATTGCATGTCATGGCTAGAGATTGTCAATAATGAAATACTCAATATCTCTTCGTGATTAAATAACTACATTCTTTGTGGTTTAAAAGCAGCATTATACATGATCATGCTCATGGAAGTCTTAGAGGCGCATTAAAAAAGGAAGAGAAGAAAGCAAGTGTTTTTTACGAAGCAGACAAATCAAATGTTAACAAGTTTTGGTGGAAATACTCCACAAAAAACAGCAGATATAATCTTATTATAGGCTAAATGAAAAAAGCTCTACTTTCCATTATCATTCTTCACCATCCCTATGCTGGTATACAGTGATTTTATCTATTTTACACACCTATTATGCAGCTGAACAAAACCAACCATAACGATCTGGCATGTTGATCATAATTCCAAACTGCATGCACTTATACATTACACAGCCATACATCACAAATATGTCAAGCACTGCATACTAAAAGACATATTATAGATTCTTCTAAATATAACAAACTGAAAAAAAAATCAGGGTGGCTTGGTGATTAGCACTGTTTCTGAGGCCAACCTCTGCTCGGGGGGGGTGGAGATTTCATGGTCTCCCTGCGTCACACGCGTTTCTGCTCAGAGCGTGTGGAGTTTGCATGGTCTCTCTGCGTCACACGCGTTTCTGCTCAGAGCGTGTGGAGTTTGCATGGTCTCCCTGCATCACATGCGTTTCTGACCACAGTCCAA